CTGTGTAGGAATCTACTTTAAACTTCAGTTTATTCCTAATAATGAAGAAATTTCATTTGTGTATCTTTCCGCCTTTTTATTGTCATTTTATGAATAATCATCATTCTCCATAAAATGATATTGAATCAAAAACATAGAATTCGAGAATTGATTTCCATAATTTAATATTAATCTTGAGAAAACAATATTTTTAATTGAAAAATCTGTGAATCAAGTATAACGTAATCGACTGAAAAATTCACTCATCGCATGCATATTCAGCTGCACTAGCAAAATACTCCATATTGAAGTGATAAACCCCTAATAAAATCCTGTCGAAAACACCGTTGTTTTTTTTACCTCGTCATTTGAGTGATTAATTACGCAGAAAAAAGAGAATGGAATGACTGCACAGAACTGCATATGTGTGAACGTATCTCTAAATCAGTCAGAGTTATGTGACGACTAATTGTGAAGTTCCTCCCTTGCCTCCACTCCCGGTCCATGTGAAACCAAATATAACTAAACGAAACTAAACGACCCGGCCGATTAACCGCTCACTGCCGCACACTCGACCCTGACAGGCCCTATTCTCGACTGCGTGTGCGTTTTCAGCCCCTGACAAACTTCTTCAATTTTTTTTTCTTTTTTTCTTCGTTTCTCGCCCGGTTGATAAATAACGGACAGACTGAGGGAGAAGCGTCGATTAATGTCACTCGTACAGAGCTACTGAGTGACTACTCAGTGGCTCGGATTCCCTGCCTGGATCAAACGAGTTTCAGAATAATGAAGAATACAAAAATTGGTGATGGTTCATCGCGCAACACGCAGCGATAGAAAGGATTAGTTATTATTAACAAGTGGAGTTGGTTGGAGGCTAGGGTCTATTCGGTTTCACCAAATAGTCATTCGTTAATAGTTAACAAATTAACAAATGTTATAAAATTGCCATACCATGCGTTCTTGAATTTAATTTGAAATATTGAATATAGGATTTCTGTATATGATATTCGTATGGAGTTGGTTGGAGGCTAGGGTCTATTCAGTTTCACCAAATGTTCATTCGTTAATAGTTAACAAATTGACAAATGTTATAAAATTGCCATACCATGCGTTCTTGAATTTAATTTGAAATATTGAATATAGGATTTCCGTATATCATATTCGGATATTTCTAAAGAATATTCCCTACACGAATTATTTCTATATATAAATCTTTACATAAATTGTTGTTTTCATACGAAAGATGTCTAAACGCTCCAGAGAAAAACAGAAAAATGGTGCAACTCCATACGAAATGTTTCTATAAGGGTGGCAGTGGGTCGTATAGGATCAAACCGATCGAAATCGTATAGAAATAATTTGTATAAAAAATATCCGTATATAAATATCCGAATATCATATACGAAAATCCTATAGAAATTCTATTCGCAATGAGTATAGAAAATTTCTATACAATTTTTTCATACCTGTCTATCTGAGCACCCACAATTTTTACATGAGGTGTCTCAAAGAAATTTAAATTCATATTAGCTCCATAGGTTGCCCATAAATTAAAGCCAATTTTTAAATTTCTAGTCTCACCTTACAAGACAATTCAACAGAATAGAATAAATTATTCCAGAGGGAATGAATATGTCGAGAAAACCGAAATATTCATTCGACGAATGGGTAACTTATAAAACCGTAATTGTGATAGGAAAGAAATATGAAGAATAGAATTCTGTGATGCACAAAATTTCCCATGAATTAAAAACTCGGAAAACCTGTACTTCCTCGATTTTTATTAATTTTCATGGACTAATTGAATTGAAATTTGGTTTTCGTCGGATCTCTTATCGAATCGTGAACTTCCAATGACAAAATTTCTTGAAATTTTACTGTCACTTCATAAATATTTCCAAGAAGTAAATATTAAAAATTGTTAATAGCGGAAATTACTTGGATCCATACGATCAATTTCTCCTTATAAAGCTCGTCCCCAGTTTCATGAATGCAACATTTCAAGAGCAATGCGTTCATCAATTTTCAAACAGGGATGGCCATCAATCTTCCGATTCTTCAATATTGACAGAATTTCCGACTTGCAATACTCAAGGTTTAAGTATACTAATCTAAATTAAAAAATAGTAAAATAATTTGAAATTTGACTATTAAGATTGATAATTACCAGAGATGGCCATCGATATTAAATTTCGTCAATATTAAAAGGGTTTGCGACTTACATTAATAAAGGTTTAAATATACCAATCAAAATTGAAAAATACTATAATATTGATAATTTAAATTTCTGATTAATGGTGAATTAAATATTCTATAATATGGAACCGTAAATTTTCGATTCAGTAAATATTTCCAACTTCTTATAAGGGACTATCGATTCACCGACTAATCGGCAATCTTCCTACCTAAATTATTGATTAATAAAACAGTTCAAAATTTGACTATTTAAATTAATGGTTACTTAAATAATTAAAAATTTAAGAGTGATATTCACTCATTTACTACTTAATAACTCAGTAGCGAAGTGGTCAAACGGTTCAAGTCAATCTAGTCTTTAGTTGAATTTTCCAGAAATATTTCCTAATTTAAGGGAGATAGCGAATTTTTCATACTAACCTTTTTTGTAGACCGAATTGAGTGCTACTAAAAAGGTTATGAGAAAAATTGTGCTATGCCCCTTAGATTTCGAGATATTCATTGAAAACTGGCCAATACCCAAAATCGACTCAAACCGTTCGACCACTTCGCTACTGAATTTAACAGTAATTTTAATTTATGGATATGGCTATCCCTGTTTTCAAATCAATTGTTGCCGAAATCCTCACGATGTTTATTGTGAACAAAAAACATGAAAATTGTGAGGAGTAAACGGAAAAATAAGTTGTCAAGTGTGAACTGACTCTGAAGCACTCGAAAGACTCTGGCTTTCCTCCTGCCACTGGAATATACGGTGACCGCGGGCTCGTAAACCTCCTCCCTCCTCCTCATAGCGCTTATATATCTAGTCGAATAATGGTTGTACCAGGGGCGCAAGAGAAAAAAGACACACCGCCCTCTTCAAACCGTTTATCCACCAGTGTCTTCTTGTACTCGCGTGTGTGCACGGCGAAACTGTGAAAGTGGAAAACTAAATTAATGCGTTTTACGTCATTGAGTTTAAGTGACTGCGACGGGGAGACTTGTTTATCCCTGGGGAGTTCTAAACACGTGGAATCGTTTGCGGTCTTTGAGAAAACGATAAATCCACTCGGAAAATAAAGTAAACGCATCTCAACATTGTGAAACATTTTTGAAACCTTTGTTACAATTTTCCACTCCAACAATCAAAATAGAAAGTTAATGCAAAGAGGGAATGAATAAATCCATTGATGAAGGGGAAGAAAGGGGTATTATTTTGTAAATATCTCTCAGATTGAAGAGTGAATTCGCATTTTATGAAAAATCGTCGCGACACTTTATTCATGACAAAAATGAGGAATTTGCGAAAAGGTTTTCTGGTAAAAATCTCATCCGATACTGGTTGAAGCTTTCGCCTGGTATTCTTTGATTCAGAAATTCATGAAATATTTGATAACAATCAATTTATCTGAAATGTCAATAGAATTTGTTATCGAAAAATCCAAGGGCCAATTTATCTGGAATGTGAATCGATTTTGTTATCGAAGAATCAGCTGATTTTATGACAGTACACAGTGTCATCCTAATTTCATAACTTATCCAAAACTGAACTTAAAGGTCGGATTTGATTTTTACGATGTAAATAGCTCTTTTAGAACATCCAATCCAAAGCCGCAATGTTACACGAAGAAGAGGTTCAGGAAAAGCTACGGAACCACTCATGTAATCATATAGTAGAGAACTTATTTCAAGAATTTGTACTGAAATTCGTAAGAAATTGTCCGATTAAATATGAATATTTCTCCTTATTTTCATGAAATTATTAAACTAAAATGTAATTTGGACTAAAGAACTGATATTTGTGAATTTTCGCCGAGAACATATGTAATCACGTTCTTGTCATGGTCATGAAAAAATAAACCTCGTCCTTGGAACAATTACAAAATCTCTTGGAGATTTTTTTTTTTCAATGTAAGATTTTTTTTTTCTTGTCAATTTTCGAGCGTTGAGTTTCTTGATACAAGTGAAGACATATTTCTCATGAACTTTGTTTTTTCACGCATGAAGAGAAAAGTTGGATAGAAATTACCTAGAAAATCATGGCAAATTTTACTATATACAAATGGTAACCGAACAGTGAATTCGGCAGATACCACAAAAAATCGGATGTGTTACACGTGCGTGTGCAAAAGTTAAATTTTACGCACGAGTAACACAATATACTATTTCTTGCACCCATCTGAAGGTCACGGGGGCGGACAGAAGTGGAATTTTACCAAACGAGTTCGGGAAAAATCATTTTCCGTTACAGAAGAATTATACGAAAAACATGAACAATTCTTCACGTTTACTGGGATATATTTTTGATGGGATGCAGGGTAAATTTTACAGTTTCGGTAAAAATCACCCTCACGTTCAGTAGATTTTTCCGGGCTAACGGAGTAAAATTCAGTATTAATATATCTCGCACTTTTCCCCTATTCAAGGTGAAAAAGCACTGAAAATCGAGTTTGCTCCACGATTACTTGCCTTGTTTGGTATTTTTTCTCCAACTTGTTTCTCCGTGCAGAACACGTACAGAAATATTCAATAAAAATTACGTATTTTTTCCGTAATTCCGGAGCGAAATATGGTTGTAGGAAATTTTACGAAACTGTCATGAAATTGTTCCAGAGCGTTCCGTAATTTTTAACTGAATCTCCTGTGAAAAATTACGATACCGTCACTTAAATTTTCTGAGTCGATTCCGTAATCGGTGAGCGAACTGTGAGTTCCGTAATTTTTACTGAACATTTCTCTCCGTGAACACTGTCAATCTAATTCCACAAAATATAATTAGGAATACACCGTGAGCGTTCATTCCTAATTCAATGAAACAAAAAATGACTAATTAATTTCAGTGTGGGCAGCCAATGATTTCCGAGACGACACAAACAGCCTAGCGCGTCTGGATTCAACGGGCCACGGTGCACACACTCCGGGTGGCAGTACCCCGAGTACCCCAGGCGCCACACCGACAACGCCCTCAGCAGGATTTACCTCGGCGCCTCCACGAAACCGAACAAACACCAATCAAAGGACAGACATTCGAAAAGGTACAAAAAAGAAGAGAGTAAAATAAAAAAAAATGAGTAAAAACAACACCACTCACTCTGAATAAACGTCTGGATTTAATTGGTTAGTGATCAACCGTCACGAGTTTGGCTGCTTGTTTGTCCACGACTTAAGGTCTGGCGTCTAACAAATCCTCGCAAATTGAAATATCCCCGCGTCGCGGTAGTAGTCGCTGGTTAACAACAACCGGGACAGATCTTACTTCACTAGGTCCCGAGTAATCCGTGGGGATGAGGGTTAAGTCTTCTCGCAATTTCTTCCGCCAAAGTCCAGCACGTTCGCACTACTTGAGAAACTCACACATTTGAGGATTTTCCGTTCGTGAGAGAGGGCATAATGAGTTAAATGGGTTGAATGCACAAAATTGGTAATCGTCGGTGATAATCTAAATGCCAGATTAACATCAGCACGTTATTAATAATCTTTTAATTAAACACTCAACTGTATTTAAAATTAATTATCATGGATATGGAGATAAACATTTAATTCAAACCAACAGTCATTTCATTCTATTTTTATTTCACGCGAGCCAAAATGGGGGCATTTTATAATCTTTAATCAATCATATTATTGAATTCCATAATTTGATGAAGAATAGCAGATTTGGGGTATGCTATTTTTTTAAATGATGATGGAAAATTTTTAAAATGTAGGCAATAATAAAAAATGTATCAATGCAATCGTCTTTAACTTATTGATTTTTCTCATGACGGAGAAAGAAATTTTTTGAAACTTCAATTTAGATAATCATGTGGCCTATCGGTTTTTGCGGAAACTTTACCAGAACTGTATATTTAGATGAAGGGTTTTTTGAAGGAAATTTCTCTCCGTATAAAGTAAATTCTCGACCTTGAACTTTACCCACTTCGTGCACAAAAACACCCACTCTACCCTCACTACCATTTCGAACAGTGAACTTGGCAGGTATCACAAAAAATAGGACGTGTTACGCGTGCGTGCAAAAAAGTGGTTCTTTACACACTTGTAACCCAATATCCTACAACAGAATTCCCATGGAATTTCTAGATAATTTCAATAGAATTTTCTAGCGCATTCCCTAAGGTTTTCTGTCAAATTTTTTCATACGTGAACTAATCCTTTCTATCAGTGTGCATCTTTTCTTGTCACTGTAGTATAATAATGTTTCCTCACGACCTTCTGAGACTGTTCCAAGCGCCAAACTGACCACGACAACTAGACAATCGGAAAATCCTCGGGTGACCATTATCTTTTATCTAATTTGGAAGGGCAAAGACCTTCTCCAGTGATTCGACCAGTGTAATGTGTGTTGCAATGCACATTATCGAGGAGTGCTATATCTCTCGGGCAGTGATAGCGGTGTCTCTTTGAGAGTAACCAATCAATCATGGTGCTGTCAATGTGAGTGGGAGGGGTGGCGTTCCAGACAAACCCCTGGGTAATTCACACAGGTGAGGCTCTGTGTGTTGTACTGATAGTGAAACACTGCGGCGTTGAAAACTCTCCGCACTAACCTACCGCGGGTGGAGATTACTGATCAAACGGTCCGCCATTTAATTGATGTTATCGGGCGATCGACTCGTTGTTGGGAGAGAGTATTAAATCATTCGTTGTAGGTTCGGGGATCGATAATATTTTGGTTCGTTTCGAAACGGAGGAATTCGAATTTGTCATCGTGTTTGTTATTTTTGGATGGAAGCAAAATCGTTTAAATCACACGGAGAGAAATTTTTTAGAAAAATTCTAGTGCTAGCACGGGAAAAGAGGCGCAAAGTGACGGCTAGGAAAAAATTCCAGTGCCAGCACTAGAAATTTTATTGGGAAAAACGCGAATTTTTCCCTGTATTTCTGTGAAAATTTCACAGAAATCCCCAGAAATTTTACCAGAAATACCAAGAAATTTCACCTTAACAGCACTAGAATTTTTCACAGCTGGTGGATTGTGATTTTTTCCAGTACTCGTACTAGAATTTTTCTAGAAAATTTCTCTCCGTGCATGCAAAGATATGGTATTTTTCATTAATTTCGATATGCACTGATGAATCTTCAATCATTGGTCATTCCAATTTAGGGTATTTGATTAAAAGAATAAATTGATTAAATGTAGCCCCCCCCACCCCTATTGGGGGGTGTAGCCCCCCTCCCTATTTGGATATTAATATTATTCGTTCAAAGTGAAAAAACTGATCATCATTTTCACTACTTTGCATTCCGATTCTTATATTCTTTAACGTAAAAAATGTGAGATAATCTGATATTATTTGCCTATTAATTGTCATCAACTTTGTTTGAAGCAAACCTTAGCAAACGCAATATTAAGAAAGTAGAATTATTCCATTTTCATCTGACCTAAATAATTTGAACAATTATGATTCGTTTATTCATGTTTCATAGAATACTGTTTAATTCTCTTTTTTGTTTACTAGGCGGGCTTCATGAAAATTGACGCAAGACGATGCTACTCATGAAAACCGCCTTACTTTCCCCATTAGTTGGAGATATCCACGGTATTAGAGTTCTCATTTTCAATTCGAGGTATTGCTGACATCGGCATAATCGAAATTTTGAATTACATTTAAATTTAGAATATGTCAATTGTTAATATTACTCACCAATTTTTTGATTTTTAAAAATAACCATCAATTTAAATTTCCAAATTCCGAATTATTTTATCAATCAATAATTGAGAAATTGAATTACCGATTATTATATTAATTTTCAAATTCCAAATACGTTAAATAAATTTAAATTACTATAAGGTGCAACTTCCCGTAATATTACTAACAGTAATGATTGATGCTGATCTATGGGTATTGCCCCTGCTTTTTTTAGACAGGATATTTGTTGCACATATCTAAATATTGACTAGTGACTGTATTGACAAATTACGAAGGATTGAGTGGCCATCCCCTAAAAAAACAATCCGTCAAATCCCAATACCTCAGGCTTTAAAACCTGCTTTTATAATACGTACATTCTACTTAGATCCGCCGCTCATGTATCAATTTTTTGTGATACACATTGTACTTTGACTATTTTTGTTCAGACAAAACTCAGAAACCAAAAAAAAATGCATTCTCCCACATCTAATCCCTTCCTATTCGATTCGTTTCAGGTGTTCGGACACCGACGGAAGTGAAACAAGAAATTCGAACGGACATCGTCTCCCCAACGGGTACAGTCGGCATAAACGACGCAAACGACAAAGATGGCGGTAAGAATAAACGCCAGAGACGGCAACGGACGCACTTTACCTCGCAACAATTACAAGAACTCGAGTCAACGTTCACGAGAAATCGATACCCCGACATGGCGACCAGAGAGGAGATTGCCATGTGGACGAACCTCTCCGAGGCGCGAGTGAGGGTGAGTTGAATTCATCGATTCCACTGAGTCTAGTTCAAACGAATGCAGTTCCTCATTCACAAAAATCCAAAGTGTGTCGACCGTTTGATAACTGTACTTTAGTAATTAATGATCTTTCAACCGGTTTCATTATCAAATAAAACTCCTTACACGGAGAGAAATATTCAGTAAAAATTACGGAACATTTCTCGTAATCCGCAATGGAGAATCGTCTTCCGGCAATTTTTATAGGAATGAAACGCGAAGAGTAAAAATTACAGAACTCACAATTCGCTCACCGATTACGGAATCTACTCAGAAATTTTAAGGGACGGTATCGTAATTTTTCCCAGGAGATTCAGATGAAAATTACGTAACGCCTTCGAAAAATTCCGTGAAAGTTCCGTAAAATTTCCTACAACCACATTTCGCTCCGGAATTACGGAAAAAAATACGTAATTTTTATTGAATATTTCTCTCCGTGAAGGGAAGAAATCTGAATCGTTCAGTGAATTCTCAGGTTCATCACTAAACAAAGTACGAAATTGTCACGTAATTTTTCCCGAAGAAGTAAAATCTTACAGAAACTTCACGACTCATGCCTCCAAAATCAAACATTCTTGAACGTTCAACAATTTTTATGAAGCTGGTGAGTTATTTCTACGTTCCGTTCCGTAAAATTTCTCAATCGTTGGGGAAAAATTACGGAACAACTTGTTATCCCCACAGCGGTGAGTCATCAGACGTGTGATTAATTTTTCCGGAACAAATAGTAGAATTTACGTGGCGATTGGTACAATTTCAGTTCCAACTCACACTTTTTATTGAATTTCACTTCGCTCGCGGATTACGTTTGGAAACGTAGTTTTGACGTTTTTTTTCTGGTATTTTTATTGAATTTTCCTCTTCGTAAACATGAATGAAATTTTGTTAAAAAATTTCATTACGTTGCAATATTTACTCGGGATAGAAATATTCACTTGTATATTATATTTTGTTGATTATTGTAGATTAATAAATTTCGCCGTGAGGAGGAGTGCTTTCTGCACTCTAAATATTGGCTACTAGTTTTCAATTAAATAGTGTTAGTTATTGCTGGATATGAGTGCAGAATAGCCCATAGAAGGAGTTTCATTTAACTATATTTTAGAGATGTGGGCGATAAGTCGGTGGTGATAGGCGGGCCAGAGGGGGGTGGGGACTAATGAGACCTCCTGGTCACCTCGATTATTCCACCAATAGCTGGGTAATCGAACAGATGCATATCAACGTGGCTGGCGATTATCGAAATGGAAGAGCAATCGCCATTTCACGCATCGATAATGTAACGTTTACGTAAATTTTCCGTCCATTGAGAGATATGAAGAATTTAATTAATTAACAAATTCGGTGACATGAAATTTGTAAATTTCATTCTCGACAATTTATTATGATGTTCATAAACAAAGTTTAAAGAACATCGAGCTTCAGAAGTTGGATTCGAACGTACACAGTTTAACCGTTTGATGAAGGATTCAATTCCTAAATTAACGAATTTGATGAGATGATAATTTGTATATCTTATTGTTCATAAACAAATTCGAAGAACTCATGGATTTTTTATGATTGAGAATCAAATTTATAAAAAGGAAAAATGGAGTGTCTCTCTATTGCTATGAATTATTGATCCCTTCAGTTGTATTAAATCCTTTATGCATTCTTCTTTTTCTCTGAAGTCAGGGACTCCCAATCGATTTGATTTGATTCATTCTCCTTTCTTTTCTTGACACCTCGATTATTAGTAATTTTATTTTCGCCCCTTGTAAATGCAATAAACGCTAATTAATTAATACTCATTTATCCGGGACCCGTGAGGCGCGTGTTCGAGTCCGACTTGGGGCAGGGATTTTTTAATCCTTCGGAAACCTTCGAACTGTAGTCTAGACACCGAGAATCATCGGAGAAATGGCAGAAAAACATTCCTCGATGATGCTCGGTCGATGGACGTCCGTGTCGACCAAGGTTTTCCATGGTTTCCCTTGGTCACCAGGAGAGTCTGTGCACGGCGTACAGCTCCTGGGGTACAATGCGACACGGTTGGAGAGGAAGTCGGCCCATGATAATCGCAAATTAGGGAACTTGTGAAAAGCCGAGTACATGGCAAAATAATTAAAAAAAAAAAAATACTCATTTATCTTGCAATGGGCAAAATTTCTTTGTAGAAATTCTTAACAATTAATAGTTTTCAAAATGTGAAAATTTCCAACATCCATTCCCCGAAAAATGATCGACTTTCATATTTCAAATGTTCGCACTTCCGAAAACATGATCAATCTCCCTAAATTTTCTCCAATCTTTCTGCTTTCCAAGAGATCATGAAGAGATCAAGTTATCTGAAAATTACCGTAACGCATGGGTCATCTTAATCTCTCTACTGTTGACAATTCACTTGATAAATATTCCTTAATTAATCAGAAACTTGTTACACTGAATCCATGAAATATACTCCAACATGACTAAACTAAACATTAACGTTCGAAAGAAATGCGTCCGGAAGTTTTTGGCACAATGCCAGGCATTGATGCGTATCAGTTACAAAATCAACAAAGCTTGCTTTGACCTTCTGGCAACCGGCGCCCTCGAGAAAGTGTCTTAATTCAATCCTGGAGCCGTTTATTCTCACCAAGAACTCGCGACTAAACTGTTAAAAAATTACTCTTCAAATTTCAAGTAAAAAATCTTGAAAGTTTTAATAACGACGAATTAGCATGAACTTTCCATGCACGTTGTTATTGACGAATCATTTCATTTATGGAATATTCAATGGGATTCCAATTTTCACGTCCATACGATAATGCAAATTGTGAAAATCAAGAAAACCTTTAAACAGTCGCATAATGCGGGAATACCCCCCCCCCCTTCTGCCTCCGTCTTTCGATTTTTCCTTTTGATACAAAATCTTTGTAAGTGAAACGTATATGATCGGCTCAGGAAATTTATGACAGTATCGTAATTTTCACAGGCGATTTAGACAAAAATTACAGAAAGCTCTGGAAAAATTCCGTGACGGTTCCGTAAAATTTCCTACAACCACATTTCGCTCCGGAATTACGGAAAAAATACGTAATTTTTATTGAATACTTCTCTCCGTGAATTTCAGAAAAATTTCACAAAATTCAGAAAAATTCTAACAGTGTAGTTGCCTAAAACACAGATGTATTCGAGGGCAAAGTGAATCTCCGAAAAAATGAAAAAACCATTGACACCTCCATCGAAGATTAAAAACGGCAAAAAAATTTTGGCCGGCGAAACAGGCAATAGTTCAAATGTTTTCAGAGGGATAGACTAGACCGGGCGCGCCAGCTTTGCGCCAGTAAGCCCTGCTTGGATTTATAGAACCGCATGAGTGTGCCCCTCTCTGCAGTGAGTATAAACGCCATGTACCAAAACTCTGTGGCATTCCGAGATCCCGCCGCCGAAACTCTCTTGTTGCTTTTACGTGTTCGCAGACTGTAACATACAACAACGGAGATCGTTCTTCATTGTAATTCGGGAAGGGCGGGCTAGCCAGTGGGCCCCACTCGTCCAGGCGGTGGCTTTTCGCTGTGAAAACCAACCACAGTACATTCGAAGGATTATTGCTAAACTCCAGGTCGAAATCTCTTTCGCAGTGGTGCATTACGATTTATGTCATACGGGAAAAAATTGGGAAAATCTATTGAGTACTAGAGACTTTCTCGGGTCGACTATCGGCTGTGGACATTGGTAAATTGTGTTCTCGGAAACAGTTCGATTAAGGATATCCAAGTATTTTGGCCATTTTTTGCTTCCAAATGGAAACTTTGTAATCGCTCAAATTTAAGTTTGGATTTTTTGTGTTATCAACCTTTGAAATATTCGAACAACGAATGTTTAAAAAAATAGTAATTCTGTGGGAAAAGGTTATTTCGATGACGCTGAATATTTATTGTTTTTTTCAAATTTTTTTAACGCAATTTAATTGACAGATTTGACGACTGAAAATGGTTGTGGTCTGTATCAAACTGTAAACGATACTTGAACATCCTCAATCAATTTTGTTGACCTTCCGTTCAATTATGATGGATTTAAATAAAATATTAATTTGATGTGGATTCATTGAAGTTTGAGAATGAGAAAAACAATTAAATCGCATTAAAAGAAGATTTTTGCGTCATTTTAATTAATATATTTCTTAAATTGGGGATCACATGTTTTCATATTTATTACTCTCCAACTACTTAATCAATTCAATTGAAGTTCCTTAGCCAAAATTGTTGACTACAATTGTTGCAACGCATCTGAATTTTTTTTTTTTATGCATATTTCTTTCCTACTACCATTACTGTTTTATAGGCCCCCTATTCGTCTGCCTTGCCTCTCCCACTTCTCTCTTCTGATTTTTTCTGCATTACCATGGGCCGTCTTACTCTTAACTGTACCCCATTTGGGCTAGGAAATCCAATCATTTCCCCAAAATGTCAGGAAATCCAGTTAATGTTAATATGTCCTCTCAGTTAGCCGTGGTTATCTGCAAAGATAACAATAACTAATCCTTCTAACTAATAATAACTAATTCGTTAACAATAACTAATCCTTTCTATCAGTGTTGGCAGAATATCGATAAATTTTTACACATAATTCTCTTCACCTTTCAATAAACATTTCCTCCTCTATTAGTCAATAACGCATACATTAACGTCACGAATTGAAACCTCAAAAAAATCATTTACCCAAAATGTCAGGAAATCCAGTTAATGTTAATATGTCCTCTCAGTTAGCCGCGGTTATCTGCAAAGAGGCAGGCGTATGTTTCGGTTGGTGGCAGAGCGGCGCGGCTGTCCGAGATAATCCGCCTGTGATTAAGACCATAAATCCATCGGCGGATTAGTATGGTTGCGCGCGCGCGCCCTTCGCTTCGACGGTCACCCACTATCATTGTCCCACTCTCCTGCACACACTCTCTCCACATTTGGTGGCTTATGTGGGTGGCCGTGTACGTTGGACTAACTGGAATAGGTTTC